TAGCAAATGTAACAGTTCCTGTCTTTACATCAATTTTACTTTGTTATAATGTGCATAGAATAAACTGATTTTTTTATTGTGCCTGGTTCAATTTATGTGTAAACTTGTAAAACCATCTCTAACCAAGTTAGAGAACATTTCACTTACACTCACCAAAAAGATTGTCTAGTTGGCAATCCATTTTTCCCTTTACCAATTGGCATCAATCTTGCTTCGCTTTTTGTTACTTGAGATTAGATTTTATTTGGATGGTTAATATTGTCAACTCAACAAGATATAGAGTCGTCCAGAAGACAAACCTCTGGGCATGCCTGAGCTTTTGTAGATTTGGTTAATTAGGATGGGAAGACCCACCTTAAATTCCAGACAAAGAAAAGGATGAAAGAGCTAAGTATTACATCTCTGCTTCCTGACTAGGGCTGTAATGTGACAACTCTCTCAGTTCCTGCTACCAGGATATGTCATGTAAATGTAATCATATAAATAGTATGTGATTTGGATGGTTAATATTGTAAACTGTAAAATCAGTTTCTTACTACAATCTTACTTATATTGAAATTGCATGCAATCTATTAGATAAATGTGGAATAATTATCTTAGTAATACTGAGTATTCTAATCTACAAACATGGTATAGTTGTCTAGATCTTCAATTTCTCTCAAAAGTGTTATGTGTTTTTCAGTGAAAACTCTTTGCTTAGTTTTATTTCCTTTTGAGTTCTATACTGTATTTCAAGTAAGAGAGCTTTTGCTGTTTATTATCTAGTAGCAATTGATTTTTAAATATTAAACTTGTACTATGTAGTCTTGGTATAGGTATTCAAATGTACTGTTTCACTTTACATGTTCTCCACTCCCTCTTTGTTCCTTACTGCTTGCTCTTTTAGAATCTCCAGTATAAGAGATGGTAGATAGCATTCAATATTTCAGTGTTAAATATGTTGCTGGCTACAAATGTTCAGTAAGTATACTTTTTGTCATATTGAAGAAGATCCCTTCTCTCAGTTTTCTGAGAGTTTAGCATCATGAGTAGGTCTTGAATTGATTGTCAAGGCTTTTTTCTGCACATATCAAAATTATCGTAGTTTTTTTACTTTTTTATTTAAATTCTTTAATTACTATTCATATTTACATATTCATCCCCCCCATTCCCTCGCCCTCCCATCCTCCTGGGTTCCCAACCAACCCATCCCCCCAACTCCTCCCCAGGGATAGTGAGACCCTCCAACAGGGACCTCCAAAGTCTGTCACGTAATTTGGGGGAGGGCCTAGGCCCTCCTTGCTGTATCAGGGCTACAGTAGTATCCCTCCATAGGGTATGGGCTCCCAAAGTCCATTTGTGCTCTAGTGTTAAATACTGGCTCCACTGTTAGAGGTCCCATAGACTGTCTTGGCCTCCCAGCTGGCACCCACATTCAGAGGGCTTGGTTCAGTCCAATGCTGTTTCCCCAGCTTTATGACTAGGGGCTCCATGCTCTTACTAGGTCAGCTCAACTGTTTCTGCGGGGTTCTGCAGCACCATCTTGGCTCCCTTTCTCATCCCTCCTCCCCCTCTGCAACTGGATTCCAGGAGCATGGGTCAGTGCTTAGCTGTGGGTGCCTGGTTCTGCTTCAAACAGGTAAATGAAGAAGGCTCTAGGAATGGTAACCAAGGTAGACATCAATCTCATTATAGGGGAAGGACATCCATGGCATCTGCACCACCACTGCTTGGATTCTTAGTTGGGGTCATCCCTGTGGATCCTGTAACATTTCCCCTGTGACAGCCCTCTCTCCATCCCTGTACTGTCTCCCTCTATCAAGGCATCTCCTTTCTTGCCCTCCTCTACTCCTGCCCTGTCTCAAGCCTCTTGTTCTCCTCCCCACTCCTCTTCTTCCCTCACCTCCTTTCTCTCCAGACCCCCCATCTCCGTGCTCTCTCTTTGTTCATGGGTTCTTGTCCCCCTTCCCCTTCTTCAAGGGACTATGCAATCTTCTTTTGGGGTCTTCTTTGTTTCCTAGCTTCTCTGGCAGTGTGGATTATAGACTGGTAATCCTTTGCTCTATGTCTAAAAATCATGTATGAGTGAGTACATACCATGTTTATCTTTTTGTGACCGGGTTACCTCACTCAGGATGGTTTCTTCTAGTTCCATTTATTTGCCTGTGAATTTCAAGATCCCATTGTTTTTGTCTACTGAGTAGTACTCCATTGTGTGAATGTACCACATTTTCTCTATCCATTCTTCAGTTGAGAGGCATCTAGGTTGCTTCCAGGTTCTGGCTATTACAAATAGTGCTGCTATGAACATAGTTGAACAGATGTCCTATTTGTTAATTGTGCATTCTTTGGGTATATGCCCAAGAGAGGAATGGCTGGATTTTGAGGTAGACTGATTCCCATTTTCCTGAGAAACTGCCATACTGATTTCCAAAGTGGTTGTACAGGTTTTACTCCCACCAGCAATGAAGGAGTGTTCCTCTTTCTCCACATCCTCTCCAGCATAGACTGTCATTGGTGTTACAGATTTTAACCATTCTGATAGGAGTAAGGTGGTATCTCAGAGTGGTTTTGAGCTGCATTTCCCTGATGGCCAAGGATTTTGAGCACTTTCTCAAGTGTCTTTCAGCCATTTTAGACTCCTCTGTTGAGAATTCTCTATTTAGTTTCATACTCCACTTTTTAATTGCATTGTTTGTTGTTTTGGTCTAAATAAAGAGAAACTCAAAGCTATTCCTCTAAAATCAGGAACAAGACAAGGCTGCCCACTATCTCCATATCTCTTCAGTATTGTACTTGAAGTTCTGCCTAGAGCAATAAGACAACAAAAGGAGATCAAGGGGATACAAATTGGAAAGGAACTCAAATTTACTATTTGCACATGATATGATAGTTTACATAAGTGACCTGAAAAACTCTACCAGAGAACTCCTATTGCTGATAACAAACACCTTCAGCAAAGTGGCAGGATACAGATTAACTCAAAAAAAAAAAAAAAAATCAGTAGCCCTACTATATACAAATGATAAATGCGCTGAGAAAGAAGTCAGAGAAGCATCATGCTTTTCAATAGTTTTTCTTCGTTTTAAATCAATAATGTGAAGTACTTCGATTAAATTTTAAATACTTGTTTCCAGAGATAACTCTTGGTTTTTATTATTCATCCATTTTGTAAGTCAGATTCTGTTTGCCAGTATTTTGAGGATTTGGGGGGAGGTGGTTGTCTGTATTTATGAATGCCATTTTTCTGTAATTTTCATTCTTTGCTGAGTTTGAGGTTAATAGCCTAACCTTATAAAACAATTTAATGAGTATGCCTTTTTCTATGTTCTGAAGTGATTGTATTTTAATGTTTTATTTTTGGTTTTAGTTTTTATTTGTTTGTTTTTGTTGTTTTCTTCTGGGCATTGAAGCTCCCTTTCAGTTCACTTAACATGGGGCTTACTAAGTTATCCTGGCTATTTTTAAACTTCTTTAACTATGTGGGCCTTTATATTTTGTGTGCTGCCTTGGCTCCCATTGCTGGGATGACTGGCATTCATCAGAAGACTAGCTTTAACATTGTCGTTTCTGATTATACCAGCAGTATGAGTGATTTTTTTTTTTTTTAGTGGTTTTGAAGGAGGAGTCTGAATTTTTTTTTTGAAATATTTAATTTCCAATGCTTTTCATTTCTTGCTGATTTTGTTTTCTACTTTGTATCATTTGCTTTTACTCTGAAAGCTTCTTGGCCATTTTTGTGACATAAGTCTCCTGAAACCTTTCTTGTTGTTTTTTCTTTTATCTGAAAATAACCTTGTTTATTCTTCATTATTGAAGGCTACTTTTTGTTACAGGATTTTGTGTTACATATTTTTGTTTTAGCACTTTAAAAATGTTACTCTCCTGATAACTACCAATTGGGGAAACTTTGAGGCCCTTAGTTCTACAGATATTTTTTGTGCTAAATTTCTTTTCCTTCTAGAACTCTGATTATGACATACTAGTTGAGATATATATATATATAGTTCCACAAGAAGGCTTTTTATGTAAATTTTATCACTTCATTTTTCTTCTTCCAAGCTTCAGCAGTAGAATACTTTTTGCTGTGTTTTTGTGTGTCTTGCCTCAATTGTTACTGCTTGCTTTCTTTATTCACTATGCTTCATCCCTGTTGGGTTTCTTTGTTTCCCACCTTGCGCCACTTGTTTTCCTTTGTACTTTATCTTTTCTGTACCTTGAGTGGTCCTCCCACATCACTTTGTTAGGCTGTTTCGGGTATCTGTTTAAATTACCTTCTGTGCAAGGTTTTTCTGATTTTCCCATTTACCCCATTCCCTCAAAAGACATACATCTATTTCGGTTTTTTTATTGAAATAAGTCGTATGCCATGAAATCCATTCATTTAAAACATCTTTATTGGTTTTTATTCATAGGCATATGTAGTCATTGCCACATTAGTTTTACACATGTATGCTTTATACATTTGTTATTTTTCCTAATACCAAAGCTGTCTGGTGAGTATCATGTACTCAGTAAACTTTCTGAATAAGTTAATTCATTAGGTCTGGCATAATATATTGGAGGCACTAGTCTCGAATAAAATGCTTAAAAATAAAATTCAACTGACTAAATCTCTGGACCTATTCCTTTATGATAGCTGTGCTATTTTTAGGGCTCTCTGAAACAGCAAATAGCCTAATAATGTATTTTTAAGAGTTATTGAAGGACATTTTTAAAAATGTGGGTTGCTTTTCATATAAGTACAAGTCATACATATATTTCCTTAAATGTTACCATTTTCTGCCATTTTCTGGCAGTTCTACAGAGTTTCCCAGAACTACTGTTTTCCTATCTATAAACTAGACACAGTTTATATCTTGAAATAGATTGTAGAGTAGCTAGTACTTTTCTTTGTTAATTGAGGATACTGGTTACATGGTTATCCCTGGAAAAAAAAAAAAAAAAACGAGGTGTTCTTTTTCCCTGACTGCTTTTGATATGAAATGTCAGTTCTGAGCCTTGCTGTTCCATCTGTATAGGCTTTGATGAGGCCTGGAAGAATCGACAGGATCATTTACGTGCCATTACCAGATGCAGCAACAAGAAGGGAAATACTGAATCTGCAGTTCCACTCAATGCCTATTAGTAATGAGGTTGACCTGGATGAACTCGTCCTCCAAACTGACACTTACTCGGGAGCAGAGGTAAGATAATTCCCCCAATGTAGGTGTAGCTCAGAGGTAGAACACATGTTTAGAATGCAATGGGTCCTGTGTTCAACCCTCAAGCATGCACCAATGTCCCACACCCCCCACATACCCAAAAAGAAAAAAATTGGGGTGGAAGGTAAGCAATGACTCATAAACAGAAGCTGCTTGCTAACACCTGTTTTAAATTACTGTAAACAATCAAATCTTAAAACAAGAAACCACTAAGTCATATTACACTAGATCTCTGTTGAATCTCATTGCTTGTTATCTGGCTCTGATTTTTCAGACTAGTCTTCAGTATGCCATATAATATAGTGGGAGGACCACTGTACTGGAAGAAGCTCCATTAGGCTTCCTGACTCCATTTTCTAGCTAGTCACCTAACATACTTTACTGAATTTTGGTTCCTTTTGTTACATTGCCAATTAGAAGAGTAGGGTAGATTTTTCAGCAATTTTCTTGTAGATATTAGGATATCATAAACATAAAGTACTTTGCATAGAGATAGTATTATTTTTTATCATTGTTCCAGTTTTAACTATTCTCATCTACTTTTGATCCCAAATATTATCTCAAAAAAAAAAAAAAAAAAAACAGTGAAAGGGACTATCTGCCCTTCCTTAGCCATAAAGAACTCTTGGCAATAACTGTAAGACCTCTAAAACCCTAAGATCACTTTTATGTATGGAAGATAAGCATTTTTTTTTCCTCTCCTTAGAAAATTTTCCACTTAGCCTATTTTTGTTAAAAAATAAAATTCCATAAAGTAATTGTGTAACTTTCTACATGCACCACCCTCAATACTGGGAATTGAACCCAGGTCCTCACACATGCTAGGCAAGGACTTTACCACTGAACCACAACTCACATCTATACATACATACATACATACATACATACATACATACATACAATCTTATGAAAAGTATATCCCATATACTATAGCACAGAATTAGCTTCAAAATACCACTGAAGTTGATTTTACTGATAATTTAATATTTTAAATAAGAAATTGTATATTCTTTTGATTGTGGGTTGCTAGTACCAGGGTCCCCATACTCTGTTTTACCCTTTGTTTTTATTCAACTTCTGTAAAAACCAAAGCGATAAACTCATATAATCAAGCAAATTTCCATAGAGTTGTCTTTAGTGTGTCATGCAGCCATAGCAAATATCACCACAAATGTCACGTCTGCTTACCACTTTGTCTTACGAGCTTTGGAAAGCAGCTTAGGAGGCAGACGGAGTGCACTGACCTTTAGTCCCATTTGAAACAGCAGTCTTTATGATCATCTCTTTGGCATGTTCATAAAGTCAGAGTGAGTGAACATGTAGTTAATATGATGGAGTATTGCAGCATTTCTAAAATGGGCTTTTGATGTGAGTATAGGGGCTGTCATTGAGTATATAACATGTCAAGTTACAAAAAAAAGAACAAGAAGAAACTATAAATCCCTCATTTGAGCAAAGTGGAAGAGTTGTTACCAGGGTGTTAATGTGCCTTTCATATTGAACTAATTCATGATATTCACACTTTAGTACAAAATAGAAATAAATGTCAGTGAGATTTAATCTGGCTGGAAAGAGAAAACTCATTTAGTGCCAGCAATTACACCAGGTAGCAAGTTCTCATACAGTACATGTCTTATTCTATATAAAATATAAGCACATTTATGATCAGTTTTTATATCCAATTTTCTATAAATTGCCACAGAAAAACAGTAGTAAATTATGTTTCCTAAGTTATATTATATCCCACAGTGCTCAGGCTTTGGGAAGGCCACTGTGACCTCATAAGTGTACAATTATAACTTCTGACAATTAGGAATTTCACCTCACAGCTGTGCCCTTCTGGCTCTGAGGTATCTGATTTGGAAGAGACAGGCTTCTTCCACATGGGTGTTTGTTGGGATGGGAAGGTAGGATTTCTGGTTGGGTGGTTAAATAGTTAAACAGCTCACAGACATACTTAAAAAGAAATGTTGTTTTTAAGTTTTAAAACTGATAAACAGGAAATGTAACAGTCAAAACTTAAATTTAGACCAAAATGTAAGATCTCATCTTTCTCTTTCTCTCTTTTTTTGTCTGTCTTTTCATCAGAATGACAACAGTGCTACAGTGTTTGAAGGCCAAAATTAGGTTTGATTTTTTTTTTATAGTAAAATGAATTTAAGATGATAACTTCAGTCATCTGATACTGCAGACAGTACTTTGTGAACTCTGTTGTGATTGATTTTCTCCTTAGGGTAAGGCCATGTCCTTCAGTACAGAATGTGTTTACAGATGCTTGTTAAAGTGGGAGGGGGGAATAGCAGAGGTTTAACTTACAGTTGGGGAAAACAGGCTTCTACTTGTCAACAGGAGCTGCCCAATGAATTTTAACTTACAAAAGATTTTATTTTATTGTATTTGTCTATGTTATCAGCCACATGAGAGGTAGCGATGAGAAAATTCCTGACACTTAAGTTGCATTTTTTTTTTAAATGTTGAAGTATTGTTAACATTTTCTTCTTTTCATTTCTTTTTATTAATGGAGCGGGGCTCAAGACAGGTTTCTCTGTGTGGCTTTTGCAGCTTGTCCTGGAACTTGCTCTGTAGACCAAACTGGCCTCGAACTCACATAGTTCTTTTCATTTCCAATTAAAACAGTATAGCTGTGGTTGAAGTGAAGATGATTATCTTTTAATGGCTGGGATTGAATGGGGTTACTTCTAAACAAGTGTCTTCATTTGCCCAATCTGTTGTTCCATGAAAGCCTTGTCATGAAGCAGACCCTGTAACTCCTCTGAGACACCATTTTCCCTCCTGGAGAGGACATATTGTAAACACCAGGAGTATCCTAGAAGAAGTGCTAGCACAGCAGTTCTCAACCTTCTGGGGTTGAATGATGCTTTCACAGGGGTCCCCTAAGACCATCAGAAAATACAGATATTTACATTACAATTCATGACAGTGGCAAAATTGCACTTATGAAGTAGCAACAAAAGTAATTTTATGGTTGAGGGTTACCACATGAGAAGCTATGTTAAAGGGTCACACCATTTGGAAGGTTGAAAATTACTGTGCTAACAGAAGGAAATGGGGAAGTGATCAACTGTTTGGGGTTCCTCCAGAAGGGTGTGTTTTTTGAGTGCTGGCTGCTCTGGTTAATGGGAGTGTTTCCTTAAACAGATGAAAATTAAGCTTGGGAAGAAAGTCCTGTCTGTCTGTCTGTCTGTCTGTCTGTCTGTCTGTCTGTCTGTCTGTCTGTCTGTGTGTGTGTGTGTCTGTCTGTCTGTCTGTCTGTCTGTCTGTCTGTCTGGAGTGGGGAGTTTTGTTTTCTTTTGGTTTGATTTTGTTTAAAGTTGTTTCACAGTCAGCCATTTTTTTATGAAGTTATTCTGGCTACCTTTGGAAACCTTTTTATTTCTGACATGTAAACTAGAGCTAACCTCTTTGCTGTTTATGATAAGAGAAGATTTCCTCTGTTTTGTAGAAATTACTAGTGCAGGCCAAAAGCCATTGGCTCTGTGGCATTTAGGTTGAATTTATATTTGCATTTAGATGTCACCTTCTTGTCAGTGGTGATCTTTATAAAGGGGCATTTGTAAAAATGGTTCTCCAAGATAGAATGGCTTCTCAAGCTTTTTCAGCTTGATTGATGGGGAAAAATGATGAGTGCTTGGTAGAAGCCACAAACCATGCTGTCAGTCTTATGTTTTGGTTATTTATTCATTTGCTTATTTGCTATGGGGTTTTGGTCCTTTGAGAAAGGTTGGTCTGGCCTGGAACTCATTATTTAGCCCAGGCTAGCTCCAGGGCATAATAATTCTGCCTTGCCGGGCGGTGGTGACACACGCCTTTAATCCCAGCACTCGGGAGGCAGAGGCAGGCGGATCTCTGAGTTCGAGACCAGCCTGGTCTACAAGAGCTAGTTCCAGGACAGCCTCCAAAGCCACAGAGAAACCCTGTCTCGAAAAAAACTAAAAACTAATAATAATTCTGCCTCTGCCTCCCAGTGCTTAAAATGTAAGTGTGAGCCATCACTCTGGGCTTGACATGGTCTTTTCCAAGCTACAGTTACCCTCTTTAAAGTGCTGAGCTCCCAGTCATCCATTCAGATCATAGGTTTAAACTGGTGGTCCATAGAGTATCCAGCTGTTAACAGGCAGCAGATTAGGTGGACTGTGGGGGCAAACATTTTTTTCAACCTTATCAGGTGTGACCCTGTAATAAGTCAAGGAGCATCTGTATTTCTTAGAGTCAGGTATCAGCTATTGGTTGTGTGAATACTATGACAGACAGTGTTTATCAAGATTTTACAGATTCAGCTTTCCTCAGAGATGATAAAGTGGCAGTATGGCTTGTGGATGTTGCATATGAGTTGACCCTGGCTTTTCCAGTGGATGTTATTAACTCTTTGTTCCCTCATATATAAAACTTTTATGTGATTGAAATTGTTTTGTGGGTTCAATGGGATAACAAATATAAGAGCACCAAGAAGCACTCACTAGAGGGCTTCCTTTTGCTCATTCTCATTCCTTTTGCTGCTTCTCAGTTTAGTATGTGTATTGACCACTAAATGTTAAATGATGTTACTAAGTGGTAGTATATTTTGTGTTGACACAATAGCTAGATAAACTTTTCTGAATACAGAATAATTATTTGCATCATTTACATCATAGTTTTTTAAAGCTTTAACATCTTGTAAACTTAAGCTATTATTCTTATTTCAGTATTTAAATGATATGTCTTATCTCAAAATTTGTTTCAAAGTTTCCATACCTACTTGACATGGGTGGGAGCCTCAATGGGCCTCATTACTTCAAGAAAGTTCTGTTCACCTTGCATGAACTGTGGTAGCTGCCAAAAGGAGCACCTTGAGTTACTTTCTGTTTCACTAATGTTCCTGTTAGCATCTTTCCCATAGAGTGAAAATAGGAACAGTTAACTGCCAGTCAGACTATCCAAAGTCTCCTGTAGTCACACTGCTTACGCCACACTAAGTCAAAACT